TTACATAGTAATGAGAAATGACGAAGTCCCCTGTGAAATCACCCCACCTTAAAAGCAAAGCTTGTTTGTGTTGGTGTTTAGAGTGGATTAGGCGCAGGGCGGCCAACCAGGACGGAGAGAGGCTCAAGAAGACTAAGAAGACACGAAGTGTTTACGGGAGAAGAAGCAAAAAAGGGAATTAGAAACTATAGAAGCAGATGACAAAGATAAAAGGAAGCACAATGAAAATAAGCAAGTGGTGAAAGATTTCGAATGCCAGAACAAACGAATATCAACAACAGATCGAGTGTCGAGAAGAACCAAACAGTGCACATGCTGTCGACGTGGAGAGTTTCACAGAAGGGCTAGGAATTTAGCATCAGCAAGATATCAATAGACAAAATGATTTGGAGATTCAATGCGTCCCGAATTCCCAGGAGGGATTTTAATCATCCATTCAAACAGGGATCATTAACTAATGGATACACAACTAAAAGATGGGTCACTCGGCAGAAGGAAATGTAAATCAAGAGCATGGTGTCAATGTGGTCACGGTGATACCGCCGAGTTATTGAACATAGTAAAACCATGCTCTATTCGGCGGTGTCATGCAGATACGATATCGTGGCTAGGAAATCATCTAGTCAAACAGCAACAACATGCAGCAACATGTCGAACGCTGCATGAAAAGACATCGGGGTGATGATGGGATCGCGAACAACGTCAAGGGATGCGAGCCTGCAAACAAAGTCGACCGGAACACCAATGACACCAAGATGGAAGCATGGTTGTAGGCATGCATGTAGATGCCCCGTGGGCGCGTCATGGTTGCAAAAGAGGGAGTAACCGCCACCTCGCCGTCGTCATCGCCGTCGAGGGGGGGCACGACGATGGCAAGTGTGTGCCTCAAACGGCTGCTTAGACGTGGTGGCCAGGTACGGGGACAAGACATGGACCGAAAGGCGGCTGTGGGCGGGCAGAGAAAAGCATCGGGGAAAAGAAAAAGGAAAAGAAAGAAATGCAAAAAAGGAACGGGTCACCGCGAGGGTCGAACTGAGCGCGTAGAGACAAGGGGGGGGACTGGTCAAGGGATATACTTCTCTGCCCTAGCCTTAACCACTGCGTTAGCGAAAGCCCCAGCTCGTCCCCGATCGGCACCCGTTTCAAGTTGCGAACTTGAGCGTTAGACGGGTAGATAAGGTCCCTCGTAGACGGGACGGTCGATGGCAGTGGCAGCTGGCTGTGGCCCGGCAACCGTAGGGGGAGTGGAGACGGACCGCCCAGGCAGGCCGACCTCCCCCCCCCCCAGCGCGGGCACGCCAGACGACCTGCAGACCCACAGCCCTGCCCAGGGCATCAAGGGCGAGCCAGATGACGCAATAGAGCACACCAGCTTTGGCCGGACTCGCCTTGCTCGAGCTGGTTGATAGCAGGCGGACCAATGAGAGACACACCCCGTCTCTGGCCTCTAGGGCAGGGCACACGCGGACCCCCACAACGTGAGTTTCTGCTGCTTATTATTACCGGGACCTGATTTTCTACCGTGCCTTTTCCCCCTCCTCCTCTCCCCTCCTTGTCTTCTTTTGAGCAGGCATCACACCACACCAAGAATATCGTGCACGATATTCAGAGATATATTGACACAGCCGCACTCTTCCTTGATTTCTTCACCTACCCACCTTCGCATGGGTATTCTCGTCTTCCTTCTCGACTAGTCACCCTCACGCCGACCTGCCTGCCTGCTCCGCAGCGTATCGATCTCTCTGCATGTCGGCATACGCACAAGTAAGTCCCTGAGTGACATGCTCTGATCCTCTCGAAATGGCGGGACCAGGTCGTGATCTGCGATGCGCGGATATCATTTCCTTTTGTTACTTTTCAGCTTTCTTTCCGCGCAAGATTTAAACCTTCATCGCGCTTTTTGATTTCACTGAACATCGCGAAATCTGCCTTGGTGGGCATCGCTTTACCCTTGCCGTTTGGCTCCCAGCACACCCAGCACACCTTCTCCTGCCCGATATCAAAATGAAATTCAAATCCTGTGGCATTACTCTGCCACACTGCTCCTTGGCATCACGAACCCTCAGCCCTGTTTCCCATATCCAGCCGCGTTCACATTCTTGCGGGAACCTCCTGGCAGCTTCTACTTCACTATCCTCGTGGCTCCAGGAATGCCTTGCTTCTGGCGGCAACGCACTGGACATGCTTATCTTGACACCCCTGTTCTCTTTCTTGCCGAAAGCTCTACCCACGCCGTCTACTAAAATATCAGCCTCGTCGTCTCCAGCTTCGCTGAAATTCTTTGAATTCCTTACGCTGCCAATGCTCTACTCAGCCGCTAACCATTCTTTTCTACCCAGGAACCATGTGTGGCATAGCCGCAGCCTCCATCGCAGGCATTGAGATCCGAGCACGCGTCATTGTGTTCAAGCTTTTATACACCACGGGCCCGCCGACGCTTGACATAGGGCTTGAGAACTTCAAGGCGCTGCTCGCTTCACTAGAGCCCGCAGTCGCGCTTTCCTTGGCCGTTGTCATGGCTAGACTGGCCCACCCTCAAGAGCACGGCGTCGGCATTGGTCATACTTGGTCTCGGCTAGTTGCCCTTCCAGCTCGGCTTCATCGGCGTTGTGCCCGTTCTGCTGTGCGGCGACGAACCAGATGGCAGCTAGCAAGTTCTCACAACATCAGAAAAGAAGAGGAAAGCAACGCCAACGACAAGAGGAAGAAGAGGAAGAAGAAGATGTGCACCCGCCTGGAAAAGCAACATCTCCAAGATCATGCTGGTTGGGCGATCGCGGGCGTTAAGAATATTATACAGCGGCTGTCGCTGCCTGCGGTCTGTCTTTTTTCCCCCTGCCGACAATCCCAGATCGTGTCTTCTTTCGGACCCTGTCGGGCTGCAGCTATGACCCGTGCAGATTGGAACTGGCATTGCTGGCAATCGGATCCGAGCACGTGTTCTTCCTGCTCAGGCTTTTTCCTCCATTCTTTCACTTTCTCTTCATTTTCACGGAGAACTACTCCCCTCGGTCTGTTCCTTTTTCGGCCAAGAAAACGCCGGCGCTTGGTCAACTGTCGTCTGCCGGCGGAGACAAATTTCTACAGCCTCGGCTTCCGAGAATGGCCACGTGCAAATTCTTTTCACGGACCTTATTCGAGATACTCGACTTTTTTCCTCTGGTTCTTCAGCTTCGGGTACCTTCACACTTTCGGGTCCTGGCCAAAACCAAACAAGTCATTTGGGCGTGTGACCGGCGGGGCACTCTTCGAACTGCAGCTTCGACAATCGACATATCCGCCAAAGATTTCGACCAGAAGATGTAAGCTCTGCTGCTGACGGCTTTCGACTCGGCTGCGTGAGAAGCTCGGACGACTCCAGCTCTCACCATCAGTGGCAAAGTCTAGCGGCTTCAATCCCTGAGCCTGCTAGCTCAGATCAAAGAAGACCGACACGGAGCAGCAGACCAGTGGCTCGCGTCCGAGCCAGGCCACATCGGACCAGGCCATTCCGGACAACTGCACCCCCCACGACGAGTCCATCGCCAGTTAAAACTCAACCAGTTCGGGGCTGGGTCTGTGAGTGAGGTGTTCGTGTTCAACCCGCTCGCCAATCCTTTCCTCGGAGCCTTGAACACGAACGTCTCGCAGGCCCAGCTCAGCACGGTCGGCATTTGAGGGCGGCAGCATGTCGGCAGCAGCAAGTCAGCAGCAATCCAAAAAAAAAAAAAAAAAAAAAAAAAAAAGAAAAGAATTAGCCCGGTTCTTAGTCCTCTTCGCAGCCAGTACGACGGGGGGTACAAGTCAACGTACCGCATTCCAAGCCCGCCTCCCAATGATGGACCTGTCAAAGGCACCTGTGAGAATTTGGGGAACAATGTATCAACAATGTACCACCAATGTACCAACATTGTACCAACATTTTACCAACATTGTATCATCATTGTAACAACATTGTACTAACACAAACATCCGTTGGCAGGCCCGACGGCGCGCGCCTTCCTCACCCGATCGCAACCCCTAAACTTCAGACCACATCGACGTGTTCCGCGGCGATCAAGTGTAATTGAATCGCATGCTCTTCGTCCTTTACGTCCTCGGCTTTGAGAAAGCGGTTTCGTTCCGGGACGTGCCTCTAAGAGTCAGTCATCGCGAACGTGTCATTGGGCGACGACGGCAAACTGCGTCTCACTGGCCGCGAGAGGCTCAGCATGGAGGGCAATGTGTTCATTCAGCGATTGAACACCGCTCATTAATGGCGGCCGGCGCGCCGTCCGTCCGTCGCAGCCGCAGCGAGTCGTGCCTCTACCAGCGCAGCGAGGCGCTGAAAGCGGCAGGAGGAGGATGGGGCGGGGGACTGGCGCTGGGTGATGGGTATCCTGGCGGGGCTTGGTCTAACAAACTGGGCTATTACAGTCGGGGGACGACAAGCTAGGCTATTACAGTGTGTGCGTGGTGATGGGTATAAGTCATTTCACTTTGGTGACAGATCTAACTGTGGAGGTCGCTCCTGGAGTAGACGTAAGAAAACATTTGATACTTAGTGCTGTCTCTTCTTTGTGGTGAAGTTGAAGGACGAGGACGCAAAGGCAGTGCCCTGACTGACCTGATGTTACCGACTATCGGCTGTCCTGTCTCACGTGATTCAGGTGTTCATCTGCCAGTGACTGGAAATGAGTTGGATGCATTCTCATTGGGCGCCTTGGGCAGTCTGTCCTTTTTTCTGCTCGGGCTTATGTGCAATGATTACCCAATGTCGGATCCTGCTTCTTTCCAAACCTCTAAACACGTGCAAAGCTAATAAGTAGGATTGGAGAAGAACAACCCCCAACATGATTACCTCTTTCACACCGAAGCTCAAAGTAAACAATCAAGGTTGAGCAAGACATATTTCTTCTCTCTGCTGAATCTCTGCACTCGTAGCAAACTAACAAACGCACAAAACCCAAAAGCAACATCACACAACGAACCAGCCCAGAGACGCTACAAAGCGGCCACCAAAAAGGAACGCGTCGAGTGTTTAATTAGACCTGGGCTTGAACCAGAGATCTCCAGTGTGTTAGACTGACGTGATAACCAACTATACCATCCGACCCGATGCTTGCTTGATGGAGTTCTGGCTCTATCGCGAGGCTTATCAGCAGCGGGGCGACGCCGTTTGTTGCTCAAGGTTCAGGGGTGCCGGCGCCGGTAGAGCTTGGGTTGTGGACTGAGTGGAAATAGTACTTAAAGCGACCGGTTCTGGCTGGAATTATTCTGAAACAATGCTGTGCCGCTGATGCAGACAGACGATGGACACTAGACTGCGTGGTGGTCCGACTGCTGCCTGGCGATGTGGCACAAAATTTGGGGAAGCACAACCTGTTTACTGCGTAAGCGCCTCTAGTATACTTGGCGCCGACGCTGTTCATTGGCCACATCCATCGATCGGACGTTGCAATAAGCTCGTATGAGCTCCGCCGTCTGGCGATCCCAACTTCGCGACGGTGGTCCCGCCGCCCTCCAACAGTCTCCCTACCCGTCGTTCGGTCAGCGAAATCTCCCCAGCCGAGAACTGACCGAGGTGCATGACAGCATGACAGCATGACGGTGGCAGAATCCCGGCCGAGTTAGTGTGTAATTAACCCCTAATAGTATGCTTGCTTGGCCGCTCCATGCCTCTTGCGGGGTGCAAGTCGGGCAAATTGCGGTGCAAGCGGTGGTGCGGCGCAGCGGACGGCAGGGGCGCTGGTGCGTGGTCGGAAGCGTTCCGTGTGGGAGGGCAAACGCAACCGTTACATTTGCTCTGGCAGATCCCCCGCTATAAATATTCCACCTCGTCGTGAAAAAATGGGATGGGCAAGCTTAGGATGATTAAGGCACAGGCGGCGGCGGCTGCCAAGCCGTATCACGATCGGTCGAGTGGAGATGGGCCCAGGGGCGAAATCGCCCCAACAATTGTGGACCCTGGTCGCTGCCTATGGCCTGTTATGGCATGTTGAAACGAGATGTTGGACGGCGGGTGCGCCTCTCGGCACGGCCAGGGCCAGTCGAGCGACCGCACCAACAGACACGGTCGGTATAATAAAGGCCACGCCGTCCCATGTTTCTCTTGGAAGCCCGTCGTCACACTTGACATCTCAAGACCTGCAAGTCCAGACACAATAGCCCGCGAGGCCGATTCAGAATGGTTGCCACACGCAGCCTCGTCCTCCTGTCCATCGTCGGCGTGCTCGGCGCGGCCGCCCGCGATGTCCCGGCAAACGTGCTCAGCTTCTACAACTCGTTGAAGACTGGCGGCGCGTGCTCCAACCCGCTGGAAACGGGCTTCCGGGACACGGACGGCGGCCCCGACAGTAAGATACCCCTCCACCGCAGAGACAGAGACGATGCTTGCCTCCCCCGCCGAGCCATCAGCCTTTGCTGACGCGCCGCCAGCCTTCTCGTACTGCGGCGATCACCTGGCGGACTTCGGCATCGTGTACATCACGGGGGAGGGGGGCGCGTTGGCCAACATGGACATTGACTGCGACGGGGCGCAGGCGGGCGAGGGACGGTGCGGCAACAGCGACGACATCCAGTCGCAGACGGCCTTCAAGGACGTGGTCGCGAGCTACGGCGCCGGCATCGACGACCTCGACGCCAACATCCACCCGTTCGTCGTCTTCGGCAACGACGGCTCCGCGCCCGGCTGGACCAACTTCGACCCCCAGGAGTTCGGCATCGAGCCGCTGAGCCTCATGGCCGTCGTGTGCGGCGACCAGCTGGTGCGTGTACTTCGCCGCCCCAACACACCTCCCCTCGGAATACTAACCTCTTTATTGTGTCCGTGTAGATATACGGCGTGTGGGGCGACACCAACGGCGACGACGACCCGGACCCGCTGGTCGGCGAGGCGAGCCTGTCCCTCGCCACAGCGTGCTTCGGCAACAGCATGACGGGCGACAACGGCCACGGCGAGGAGGACGTGCTGTACATTGGCTTCACGGGAGCGGGGGCAGTTCCGGGGGCCGACGGGGCGGACTGGGCGGCCGCCAGCTTTGCCGCGTTTGAGAGCAGCATCGCCGCTCTGGGCGACCAGCTCGTCGCCAAGATCGGCGGCACCGGTGGCGGCACTACGACGACTACTACGGGGACGGGGTCCGGAGAGGAGGTCCCTGGGTCGACCGGCGGCTGCTCGTGGGACGGCCACTGCGCGGGAGCGCCGTGCGGGGACGAGAATGACTGCTCTGATGACCTGGTCTGCAAGCGCGGGTTGTGTGCTGCGTGAGTGTGCTGCGTTTATTCGACGTGACGTATCTTGCTGGGGCAATGTGACAAGCAACTGGGTGAGGAAGGTAGTTATAATCTGGCGTTTCAATAAAAGTGGTGGCTACCGTAATCAAAGTTAACGTTTCTGGTAACCGTTGCCCTTGCCCCCCAAATGCTACTAATTACGTGCCACGAAGCCTGCACCGCTGGCAGAACTGTGTTCGGTCTTCGATGCCTACTTTGTATGCCATGCTGATTAGCCCACGGCGTCAGCGTCAATCCCGCCCCAGGCGACAGAATCCGAGCTGGTCGACTGCAACGCTCTAATTATTAGTATGACGCGACAAAAACGGCCTAGTCATGCTGACAGGTGCATCGGTGTCAATAATTACAAATCCTGGCAACTTTGCCGATTGTGTGGTGTCCCTGTGCATGGTTTTTGTGCAATTCCCTCCCCCCTTTCTTTTTCTTTGTCTGTGTGTTGCCGCAGATTGTGGTTGGGCCCCACTCCTTTGTTTACCCCCTTTTCCTTGTTTATCCGCCCCCCTTTGTGCCTCCCCCTTTTGTTTACTATCCCCCTTTTTCTTGCTGCCCCGCAACCCGTTAACCTTGCTTCCCAGCTCGCCTTGTAAACAGGATAGGCTGTTCTCAATGTTTGGGGCGTGCGGGCGGTGCCGGGTCATGTATGGACGCGTCCGCCTTCCCCTTAATCTCGCCCGTGTAACCGTTTGGCACCCAGATTCCATCTTCCCACGAAAAAGGTAAATCACAAATGGATCTTCGATAGGCAAACATTCTATTGTCGTTTTCAAAAAAGACGTCTAATTTAAAGCTGCGTGTGCTTCCAGAGCCACGCCCAAGAAATGTGTTTCCGGAGCACGACGCGTCGGCTCCCAGGCCAACCTCCTTTGGCACCCCAATCAGCGGCTGTCGCAAGGTATATCATACACTACAGTAATAGAGCCCGCTCAGCGGTAACCCTTTGCGCAAGAGCCCAGTCCGGTGTTCCAATCTTGTATCCGCACGCCGGCCCCCTTTTTTTTCTGTCAGATAGCAGCTTGGTCCATGGAGCCTGTCCTGGTGCGGTTATCGACATCGCTGGGGCCACATTGTTTTGTAAAACTTATTTAGGCATTGTGACCGCCATGCGAGCAGGTGGGTTCTTCTTCGTATCCATGCGGACCAACCACCACTTCATCAAAGTTGCCGCCTTGCGACTTCGTGTTGCCGTAGCTTGAGCCATCCCACTCATTAATGAGGGTCGAGTTTGTCCTCTGGAGGATATCCAGTAACTTTCTCGGCTCAGCCATGATCAATACAATGGATGATGTTCTCCTTCTGGGATATTAGAGAAAGATGAAGGGGAGGTAAATATGAGTACAGTATGCCAAGGATGGTTGTGAGCGGGCTGGGATGATGGTGGCAAGAATGAGGCTGCAATGAAATCTTCATGATCCGGAATTGGGGACTTTATAACCGCCGAATGACGCCCAAGAAGCCCGTGCCAGACGAAGATTCGAGACTGGGCGTCGCCGGACATGACTACGCGGAACAGGAATCTCATTGCCAGAGCTATTTTAGGACTGTCGTGAGGCAGAAGACCACCCACGGCGGGCCCTGTGGGAGGCACAGACAGACGTGTTTCAGGAGTTGTGGCGATGTATTCCGAGGGCTCGCTCAGAACTTGGTCACTTGGAGTTCGATGCCGCGGTCCAGCCTGATAATTATGGAAGTATTACGCGGAATTTCCGCACAAGGGTGGCGCGGGTAGACGCCTGATGTTTTTTTTTGGGGGGGGGGGGGGGCAACGGGCGCAACTGTAAGCCAAAGGCCGAGATGAATTGTTTCCGGGTTTGCGAAGGCTCAATCCAGAAGGAAACCCCCTCTTTGGCTTTCATTGTTGACTGGCGGGTCTTAGCTAATAATCAGCCCCTGTTGTTGCAATTGTTGGAAAGTGGCTAGTGAGGTGGCTCACAGGAGTAAGGGAACCTGTTTTTTCCGACCTGGGGGTTGCTTGAGCCTTGGGGGGCGGAAAGGAACCCACCTGAGCCCGCCACCTTAGCCCGCCACCTGAGCCTACCTTGACCAATAGCAGCAGTTTCCGGCACACCTCCTCAGCGTGGCTCGGGTGTGACATGGTGCCCAAGCTGGACACACCTTTTCTCCGCCGTGCCCAAGCGAATAGGATTAGGAATTCGACTCGACAGGTACATGCATGAACTAAGCACCCAGGAGAGGCTCGGACCCCAAGGACACACAGCACCCGGGCAGTTGAGGGCTTGAGGTACCTGTACCTCGGAACGCCAGAGCAGATGGTTTGCCATGCCACTGGTCGGGTCTGAGTGACGTTTTGGGTTGCCACTTGACGCCGCCGGACTTGAGTTTCAGGGCTAAATTTGGCACTGGCACAGGCACAACAGGCACACACGCACACGCACACGCACAGGCAACGACAATGACCTCCCTCGCAAGTTGCTTTACTTCCATGTCACATATCACATTCGTATTCCACTGTCAATCGCCAAAGGCAGGCAGCCGCGCAGTGACCTAACGTATCAGATTCGGGTATATCAAGTCCAAGGGCGACGCGCGCAGCCAGCGGTGTGAAATCTCAAATTAACTAACCGCCTTGCTCACTTGTTTTAATCAATTTCCCTTTCAGTTCCTCCTTCAATTCTCCCTCCTTCCCTCCTCCCGCATGGTGCAGCCATGTCTCAACCCCGCCTCCCGCTCCCCCAAGTCCCAGGTCCCAAGCTCGCGCCCTTCAACAACGGCCAAGCCGAAATTGAATTCCTCGAGCCGCTTGGGAATGCCGAAGAGGACTATGAAGGCGCCGTTTGGAAGGTCCGGGTCAACGGGACCGAG